CGGGGTCCAACGGCCATAGGAAAGCCAAGGCCAAGGCCTGGTGGAGGTGGTGGGGGTGGTGGAGGAGGTTGCAGAGGGGGGAGTCCCATGGGTGGTGGTGGCATGGGAATCCCAGAGAGCTGTGAAAAAAAATATGACCATAAACTAGGAAGTATTTATCTACTACAGAATGTTTTTTTTTTTTTTTTTGGTGAGGAAGATCGGCCCTGAGCTAACATCTGCCAATCCTCCTCTTTTTTTGCTGAGGAAGACTGGCCCTGAGCTAACATCCATGCCCATCTTCCTCCACTTTATATAGGACGCCACCACAGCATGGCTTGACAAGCGGTGCGTTGGTGCACGCCCGGGATCCGAACCGGCGAACCCCGGGCCGCTGCAGCAGAGGGCGTGCACTTAACCGCTTGCACCACCGGGCCAGCCCCTCTACTGCAGACATTTCTTGGGGATCTACTATGAGACAGCTGCTGAGATTCAAAGTCAAATGATACACAGTTCTTGCACTCAAGAAAAGAATACTCGATAGCAGTATCGAGAGAAGAGGATGCTAACTTTGGGGCACCAACCAACGAAAGCTATGGACTCTCTCCCCAGAACAATACCACGAACACAGACTTGGCATACAATTTCAGAAGATTCAAGGAGACCTCTAAAGACTATCTAGAGACTCCTCATCTCCCACACAGAAGTCAGTGGACCCCACGTCAGAGCCACTGCTCTAGAGAAAAAGAGTCAAATCCTGGATCAGAAAGAACATGGAAGTTGAGAGGACTTAAATAAATGGGAGCCAGTGTGCCCTGATGACTCACTAAACATAGAGGGTATCAAATCAAATCAGGAAGTGAGCTCTAAGGTCTCAGTGAATAACATGGGAACTGTGCCCTGGGAGGGCAAAGAAGAGGGTGATTACTTCCAGCTGGTGGAGGATCAAGTCAGGCTTCCAAATATTAAACAGAATCTTAAATGACAAGTAGAATTTTGAGGAGCAGACATTGGAGGAGGAGGCAAAGATCAGGACCACCAGAGAGCTGAAGAGCTCCCAATTCTATCACAGCAGTACCCCCCTACCCAATCTGCTAGTTGCATCCACAGTACACTGCATGTGAAAAAAAGGCTACCCTGAGCAAAAGGGATCTTATAAAGTGGAACAATCTCCTCACCTGCGCTGACATGGGAGGGGGGGCAGCTTTGTCCCCATCTTCGCCTCTCAGAACCGGCCGATTCAGCACGATGCCAGTCTGCAAAAGAGAAAGGACTCTAGGTTGGTCCAAGAGGAGCTGTTCCAATAAACCACGTTCGCTCCCATTCATTCAACAAAATTTACCCAGTGCCTGTCTGCCAGAGGTCCGACTGGGCACTGGGGAAGAAGGCAGAGGTACAGAACAGAGGGGTAATCCCATGAGTGGCAGTAGCATGGGAATCCCAAAGAGCTGTGGAAAAAAATATGACCATAAACTAGGAAGTATTTTTCTACTGCAGACATTTGCCGGGGGTCTACTATGAGACAGGTGCTGGAATTCCAAGTCAAATGACACATTGTTCTTGCACTCGACGTGAGCAGGGACCTGGGAACAGGTACAGAAGCGATTACAACAGAGCAGGTAAAGGCAAGCACAGGCAAAAAGAGTAAGCCCCCACTTGGCGTGCTGAGGTACATGAAGAACGAAGACTGCGTCGTGAGAGGTCATGAAGGCCTCCTCCAGAAGCTCGGCCTATCCTGACGTCCCGCTGCCAACACTGACCTGACGGGTGTAGGTCTGCAGCCGCTCCACCAGCTCCTCGCGACTCCCTGCTGGGCAAAGCACAGGATCAATAGGGTAGGTCAGGCCGAGCAGGCCAGCCGGCCCAAGTCAGGCCCCAGCGTCCGGCCTCCGCCCCCCGCCTCCGGGTCTCCGGGGTAACCAGGCTCCGCTTCCCCGCAGGCCTACGCTGCCGGCTCTTGACCTCCGTGTTTCTCACCCTGGATCGGAGCTCCGATCTCTGCCAATTTGGCCTGAAGCTCCTGGGCAGCCCAGGCGCCATAGTGCCCAGGAGGCGGCGGCGGCGGCAGCTGCAAGTCTCCTTTCGGAGGCTCGGGATGCTCAGTCGCCATCTTAGCCGCAGGAAGGCGCGCGACCAACCCGGAAGCTCGGGCCAGCCGCAGGCACACGTCCCGAGACTTCCGGCGGCGCCGTGCGCCACGTCCGCTCGCGGGTTGGAAGGCCGTTCGGGTGGAGGCCCACCCACTGCGTTCTGCAGCCGTCCCTAAGCGGCCTGGTCGCGAAGCCTTCTGGGAGTTGTAGTACGCAGGTCACGGCCTCTGCCCGCCCAACTCCTGGAGAACCGTGCGCGCCCACAAGCCCGGGAACACTGGGGGCCGGAGCGGGGGCGGGGCTGCGGGGAAAGCTGGTCCCACCCCAAGGGCGTGCTTTCTGCGTCGGACCGGCCGGAGCACAGACCGCTAGCCTTCCGGCCCGACTCCCTGGTCAGGCGTGAGAGGTCCGGACGCTTACGTCCCCGGGGAGTCCCGAACTACTCATTCCCTTGGCGGCCGCGCGTTGCGGGCGCCAGGCGGGAGGTTGCAGCCGATGCCTGTGATAAAACAGTGTCTGATTGTCTGCCCGTCCACCCCCGGCGCAGGCAAGGATTGAATGGGCTGAAAGGGGATCGGAGCCGGGAGAGGAGTGGGCCGCCCAGGCTGGGCTCCAGCTGCCAACCTGGGGGAAGGGCCACACTAAAGCCCCTTTTCCCACCTTCCAGGCTGGCTCAAATGTCGTCTCAGCCTTCTCCGGCTTTCCTTCTCTTCCTTGGAGTTCCCATAACACGTTCAAACCTCCACCATTTGCTTTGAAGTCTTGCCCCTCCTCCCCTCCTCCATCCCCAAGAACGTGAGCAGAGATCTCATCTTTTTACTGTCGCGCAGCACCTGGCGTTCAAGAGGCGCTCAATAAAAGATTACTGAAAAAAAAGCAAATGGAACAGTCTTTCTGGCGACAGGATTTGCGTCTCTTTTAGTCTCGAAAATAAACTCAGGACTTTTTCTTTCCTCGTTCCCATCAGCCTCTAGGTGGGGTCCACCCTTCCTCGGCACCAGTGGCCTGTGCGCCTGAGGGAGGGATGGGCAGGTGCCCTTGCCTGCCCAGCTTCCACCTCTCCCTGCCCTAACCTGTCAATTCGGTTTCTCTCCCCACCTCTGCCACTAGCTCTGAGGTCCCTCTCCCATTCTAGCTCTGCCCTCTCACTGACAGCCAGGTTCACTGCCTGTGTGAGTGTGTATGTGTGTGTCGGGTAACAGAGCCAGGAAACTCAAGTGGTCTCTTTTTCCCCACACACCCGCACCCTTCAGACCTTCTCTCCAGCATGCTCCATTTCACTGACTGCCCCCAACAGAGGAGTAGCTGGGAACAGGGGGGGAAAATGCGGTGCCAGCTCCAGGGAAGGTGAGGTTTAAGAGAGACAAAGGAAACGACTGGGCCAGGACTGTTGCTCACATCCCGGCCCTGGCTAGGAAATTCTCTTCACTCCTCCCCAAACCATGACCTTTCCCCGTTTCATCACCGCCACCATCCCAATCTCCTGACACTCTCAGAGGAGAAGCTAAAGCCAGAACTGACAGACAAAAGAAGAATGGTGCCCTCCCCCTAGCTGGTCAGCCCACTCAGGCAGAACCATTCCTGACCCAAAAGAGGTGTTTTTCTGCTCCCTGTAACCAGAGAGCTGCTGGCAGCTCCTCTGAGGCTGGAGGCCCCCAGGCATGTGTATGTGCTGGGGAACAGGATGGGGGGCTCTAAGGCAGGATAAACTAAGAGCTGATGGGTGAGGACGTAATGTAGGTAGGGCCAGAAAGGGATGGATGGGCCAAGTGGGGCCTCATTTTATCATAAGCCCTGGGACCCAGGCAGGGTAGGACCCCCCATTGTGCAGAGGAGAAGACTGAGGGGCGGAGAGAAGCTGACGTGCCCAGGGTGTCAAACTGGGACCACAAGCAGTTCTCCTGACTCTGAGAGTCCCCATTCCTTTCTCCTCCTTAACAAGGACCCTCACACAATACCTACCTGTGTGGGTGTGGAGTGGAATCCAGTCCCTTCCAGTCGCAGCTTTGGGTGGCTGCCCCAGCTCCAGGATCCTTGTCATACCAGGCCTAGAGGGCAGGAAAAAGCTGGGGTCCATGAGAACCCCAGAACTAAATGCAGGGCTCTTGGTGTCTGGCGTGACTTTGGGAAGTGCTCCTGCCCAGCTCCCAGGTGGTAGGAACTAAGGGCTAAGAAGGCAGTAGAAAATTCAGGACCACCCCACACACATGGGAGTTCACAGAGAGCCTTCACATGTATCCTCTCTGCAGTCTCAGAACAGCTCCCCATTCTAGAGCTGGAAGCCTTCCCAGGGAGGTGCCTCTTGACTCTGGGACTTGAGTTCAACCGGGGTTGAACTTGGGTTCTCTGATTCCCAGTACAAGGTGCCTGGGCAGGGGTCCCAGGGCCACTAAAGCTCTAGTGGGAAGTGAGTGGGTCTGGAGTCCTGGTGGAGAGTAGGAGGGGGTCAGTAGCAGGGGGCTGCCTCAGGGGCTGGAAGGGAAGGGGTTCCTAGGGGTGTGAGGGCAGATGGGACCAGACCAGGGGCCAGAGCTGTGCTTCTCTGCTGGAGGTTGAAAGAGGAGAAAGAGAGGAGGGAGGGAGCATGTGGGTGCTGGGAAATGTACCTGTGTCTCTAACTCCTCCGGGACCCACCAGCCAGCCCAAGGTTGACCAGCCGAGCCCAGGAATGCCTAGCAATGCCACAGTACCCAGATACCTTCTGGGCCTCAGTTTCCCCTTCTGTAGAGTGAGGGCAAGGAGCTGGTCACATTGGTATCCAGACTCTGCAAGATTGCCCGGGGAAGATGCCTGCATCCGAAGACGCCACTGGAGAGTGTTAACTGGCAGTCTGCGAGTCAAGGCTGCCCCCTCCTCTTCCCGCTCCCCTCTCCCTCCCCCTCCTGCGCGGCCGGGCCCCCGCCCCCGCCCCGCCTCCGGTGTGCGATGGGGGGCGGGCGGCGGGCAGAGCTGAGAGGAGCGGAGCCGAGCGGACGCCGCCACCTGATCCCATCCAGGCGCGGAGACGAAAGCGACCGGCACTCGGCGCGCAGGGCCCCCGGCGCCCTCGCATCCGCAGCGGATTTCGGGACAAGGGTTCGGAGGTAGCGGCGACCGGCGACCACCCCGGCAGAGCCCGCGCGCCGTGAGTACTGCAGTGGCCGGCCTGGGGCGGGGGTGGACCAGATCGGGATGGGGGATGAGGGGTGGGCGGGAGAGTGTCGTGCGGGCCTAGTGCCTGGAGAGCATGAGATGGGGGGGCGCTCTGTCCCCTGGGGAGTGGGAGAGGGAGGGGTGAGAGGGAGAATCTGGCCTATCTCCTATGGTGACCAGACCCCGGTGACCGGATCCCTGGGAGAGGTTGCAATAAAATTGAGGGAATGGGGGCTTGGGGGATAGTGATGAGAGAGGAGGATGAAGGGAATTCGGAGGCAGAAATGACGTGCCGGGTGGACGGCAGAGAGAGGTGGCTGGTTGGGACCTGGAGCCGGCTGGGGGGAAAAAGAGAAGAAAAAGAGGGAGGTGGAAAGATATTTGATCTCCTAGGCCACTAATTCGAAGCCCCCTCAGCCCTTGTCCCTTTCCTCTCTAGTGCCCTAGGCAGTTTCCCTAATCACTGGGCTGTGCCATCCTCAAGTAAGGATGGAGTCTCCAGGTCATCCAACGGTCAGGTCCAGGTGTTCCAGGCCAGGGCACCCTCCTCTTCTAAAGGCACCAGTATTAGCCCTAGAGCTTGGAGGAGAGAGAGAAAAGGGTTCATTTGGGAGTGGGTGGGCGTCCAGGCCAGTTTTCAAAGCTCTGGCTAGCTATCCCCTTTCTTCTTTGGTTCCCTGGAGAAAGAAAAGCAATTTGCAAAACTGGGCAGTAGCCTGAGGTAGGCTGTTCTGACTAAAATTAGCACTGATATTCTGATGAGGCTGGGCACCCTGACCTGTCTGGGACAGCTGTGGGAAACTCTCTTCGTGGAGAAGACATGGGGGAGGCTGGGGAGTAGTTTGAAGCATGTGAGGTGCAGGAGCCAGGGCCGTTGCTCTGAAGCCTGCCCCGGACCGCCACCCACCCTACACCAGCCTGGAAATTACACATAGAAACCTAGCCCCAGGTGGCCCCCTTCCCAGGTGCCAGTGCCTTGACTGCATAGGGAGAAGAGACATTGTGGAGTGAACTTGCCAGGGAAGGGAGGCCTCCTCCAGTGTCCAAGCAGCACCCTCCTCAGGACCTGGAATGTTGAGGCTGGCCAAGTGCCCACCCAGAGGAGACAGGCTTACTGCTTTCAAATACCTGAAGGTCTGTCATGGAGAAAAATGGTCCATGTGGCCTAGGAGGGCAGCGCTAGCAACCATACAGAGTGGAAGGTGGAAGGAGACAAGCTGAGAAAGGCACTACCAGCAGTAGACTAATCCTAGTGTCCCAGAAAGAACTTCTGAACAGCCAAGGCTGCTCAGAAATGGGCCAGGCTGTATCTGAAGGTGATGAACGTCGCATCATTGACCGTGGCCAAACAGAAACTGGTGCCCACCTGGGAGGGCTGGGGTCCAGGGAATTCTTGCACTGATGATGCCCTGTTCCAAGTGGGCGTCAGACTGGGGTCTGGCTGGCTGGGTCCCCAGGGCTAAGCCATGGAGGGGAGTGAGATAGAGGAGGCCACCAAGTACCCCATCACCTTCTCTGTGTGGCCTGGTTGAAGTGTCTCCCAGGGAAAGGCCCACTGTAGCTCCCTCCAGGCTTGACCTCCTTGGCTGACCCAGAGTCCTCTGAGAAATAGGGTGGTTTCAGTGAGTTTAGCAAAAGTGGGAATAGGCTGGCCCCCCAGCCTTGGGAAACTCTCAGTCTGGTCACTAAGTCCTCTAGGCAGGATGAGTAACAAAGGGAAGAAGGTGTGCATGCGGCAGGGGCAGCAGCTTGGGCTTTTTCTGCCATGCCCTTGGTTGCCCTCTATGGCTGGACCCTTCACCCTCCTTGGCTCCAGGCAGATTAAGTCTGTCTGCAGACTGGTGGAGGAAACCAGATGATGGGGCCTGGGGAGAAGGAAAAGGCATCACCAGGACATCTTTCCACCCAAACAGGTTTAAATGTAATCCAGGATTAATGGGGGGGGAGGGGCCAGGACTGGGAGCCAAGCCCAGGGCCCCAGAAGAAGGTGATGGTCAAAAGAGTTTTCACATTACCTCACCCCTCCTGGGACGCAGGTGTCCTAGTTCCACACACATGCACATGCCCATAAGGTTCCAGGCTACCCCTCCCCTTTCAAGAGGGGTGTACGTGGGGCTCAAGCTGAACCCAAACAAACGTGGAGACTGAGGCCCCTGAGACAGAGACCCCACCCTAGCCAGGGGACAGGCGTGGCTGCTGAAGTTGACTTTCCACTGAAGCTGCCAAGGGCCGGGCTGCTCTTGAGCCCAGACACTCGTGTGGGGACAGGTGACTGGCCAGAAAGCAGGCCCTTCTCTTGCCTCTCACTCCTGCTGCTCACCTGGGATGCAGGCCCACCTTCTCCTGGAGATTCTCAGCAGGCAGCACGAAGGAGCCCCTCTGTATTCCCCCAACCCCCCTCCCAGGCTGCCATCCCACTGCCTTGGCCAGGCACCTCTCACTGCAGAGTCAGCTGCTGGGGCGGTGAGGGTTTCAGGTGTCTGGGGATGGAATCCAGATAGGGTTCCAGGATTTCAAATCCTTCCTTTCTTTCCTTCATGGATTTATTGGTCTTGGGCCCTCAGCATAGGAGCCCAGCTAGGAGGGCTGAGGGCTCAAAAGTAGGCTGAACTGCCCGAATCCAGGGTAGGCAGAGGGAAATCAGTTCTCTGTGGAAGCAGCACACATAATGTCTAAGGGCATGGACTCTGGAGCCAGAAGGAGCAGATCTGAATCCCGATTCTGCTAATACCAGCAGTGTGACCAGAGACAAGTGGCATTATCTCTTAACAGCCTCAGTTTCCTTGTCTGTAAAATGAGAAAAATACCTATATTAGAGTTGTGGCAAGGATTAGATAGGATTAAGTATGTAATAACAGAGTACATATAGTAAGCCTGCAGTATTGATCCCTTCCCTACGTCAGAGACTCGAGAAGGTGAAGGCCTGATCAGTGTTTCTGAGGAGCTCAGTCTCTGGGGAGCCAAGAGCAACCCTTGGATGAAGCAATCAGGCAAGGAGTCCTAGAGGAGAGACTTCTGTGCTCTGAGCCAAGCCCTGGTGCTCAGACAAGTCTACTGGGGAAACAGATACGAATGGCCACGAGACAAAGACGAATTAGGAGCAGGCAGAGAAGCAGAGACAGGGCTCAGGGAAGGGAATGGCTACAGCCTGAAGGGCTGGCCACACCCCAGAGCCTGTAATTCCACCCAAGACTAGGTTATCTGGAGCAGTGTGGAGATAGGGTCTTGGTAACGGGAGGTAGGAATCTGATCTTCCTGGCCTCTCTGCTCACCCCACTCTTTGGAGCTCTCCTTTGCAGCAGTCCTGCTGGGGCCCGGAGCCCATCTCCTCTGCTCACTGCAAACCTGTTTGCCTCCTTCTTCTGCCAGGCCTCTCAGGAACACTGGCCCTGCTGCCAGAGCCCCAGGAGCCCCCATGACTGCCGGCGAAGGGAGTCCTGGATAGCGAGGCCCTGGCTGGTCCAGGGGTGGGTACCGCATCATGCCACCCATCCTCCAGCGCCTGCAGCAGGCCACCAAGATGATCAGCCGCAGGAAAATCCTGCTGTTGGTGCTAGGGTGCAGCACCTTAAGCCTCCTCATCCACCAGGGGGCGCAGCTCAGCTGGTAAGGGGGCGGGGCCTCGGTGAGGGGGCGGGGCCCAGGGGAATTGCGTTCCTCCAGCGGGCTGGTTAGCTACAGAACTGGGAGCTCTCCTTCCCATGCCTTCCACCTGCCAGAAGAGTCCATCTTCTGCTCGGCTTTGCTCCTTCCCTCTATTCTGAAAGTGGTTTCCATACATTCTCTTTAGAGCCCCTGGGCAGGGGCTGGTTTTCATTGGAAGGGCTGAGTGACTGGCTCCAGGTCATAGAGTTAGTCAGTGACTAAGCGGGGATTCTAATCCAGCCCGAGTACTTCTCACGGCATCACATTCTGAGCGCCTCCCCAAAGGACTGCAAACAACTTCTCATTCCTTCTGTTGTGCTGCGCAAGTCCCCTCACTTCTCTGAGCCCCAGTTACTTCGTCTATAAAATGAAATTGATAGTAAGTGTGACCCAGCCAGTCACCCTGATACAGGATACCGGATGACAATTAACAGGAGCCGTGACCCTGCTCCTGGCTCACTGTTTGAACTCAACAAACCCCTGAACCCCTCAGAACCTCAACTTCCCCATTTTCTACATGGTCTGCCCATAAGAATGGTGTGAATGGGCCCAGTCCCCCTTGCCAGATGATTTGCTGGTATTTAGAAGGGGCATCTGTGCCGACATTATCCTGAGCCCAAACCAGCCACAGACCGGAAATCTCAATGGTATTCTCAAAGTTGCATCGAGTTGTCCTCATCACACGATGCTTAGGATGGCAGAAAAGAGAAAGGAGAGTGACTCAAAGTCTGAAGGGAACTTACAGGTCATTGTAACCCCCAAAATCCTTGTTGCAGGCACGAGGAAACAGAAATGAAAGCTTCATGAAGGCTAGGATTATCATCTGTTTTTTATACTATTATATTTCTTGAGCCTAGAACAGTGCCTGGCCCATAGCAGATGCTCAAAAAATATTTGTTGAATGAATATAATGAGGCTCCAGAGGCCTTAACAGAATCATATATAACAAATGGGTTGCCTTAAAGCTCATGCCACTCATCTGCAATGGGAGGAACCAGTGAAAGAGTGAAAATGAGAAAGAAGACAGAGCAAGAGGATTTGGTGACTTTATCTGAGTCACCAAAATTACATAAATGATTTTTCTCCTTCTGGTCCTCAGTTTCTACATCTGTAGAGTGGAATTCCTCAAGGATCTCCAGGGGCCTTTGTCCTTGTATTAGTTAGCTATTTGTGTGTAACCAAGTTACCTCAAAACTCAGCAGCTGAACACATGGAACATTGATTATCTCCCTTCTGTGGGTCAGGAATCCAGGTATGGCTTAGCTGGGTACCTCTGGCTCAACGTCTCTTGTGGGGTTGCAATCAAGCTGGCTGCTGGGGATGCAGTCTCATCCGAAGGCCTGATTGGAAGGGCTCTTCTTCCAAGCTCACTCACGTGGCTGTTGGCAGCCTTCAGTTCTTCAAACAGGCTGATGGACTGAGGGCCCAGTTCCTCCGGGGCTGTTGCCACTGGTACCTCTCCATTGGGCTGCTGACAATATGGCAGCTTGTTTCCCCTGCATGAGTTATCCTAGAGAGAGTGAGAGCGAGAAAGACACCAAGACAGAAGCCATAATTTTTTTATAATGTAATCTTACCAACGACATTCCATCATTTCTGCCCTATTCTTTAGCGGCATCAATAAGTCCCGCCCATACTCAGAGGGAGGGAAATATCAAGGGCATGAATACCAGGAGGGCAGAAAGGATCACTGGGGGTCATCTTAGAGGCTGCCTACAATACCCCTCTACTGTTCTATGGGTAGAGCCCAGAAGGGGCTGCATCCTTGGGCAGGGGTCCAGCCGCTCCCCTCTCACACCCTCCTCCCTGTACACCCCCCCCCCGGCCCCTGCAGGTACCCCAAGCTGTTCCCTCTGAGCTGCCCTCCTCTGCGGGACTCTCCACCGCGCCCCAAGCACATGACCGTGGCCTTCCTGAAGACGCACAAGACGGCGGGCACGACGGTGCAGAACATCCTTTTCCGCTTCGCCGAGCGCCACAACCTGACGGTGGCCCTGCCGCATCCGAGCTGCGAGCACCAGTTCTGCTACCCACGCAACTTCTCGGCGCACTTCGTGCACCCGGCCACGCGGCCGCCGCACGTGCTGGCCAGCCACCTGCGCTTCGACCGCGCCGAGCTCGCGCGCCTCATGCCGCCGGGCACCGTCTATGTCACCATCCTGCGCGAGCCGGCCGCCATGTTCGAGTCGCTCTTCAGCTACTACAACCAGTACTGCCCGGCCTTCCGGCGCGTGCCCAACGCGTCGCTCGAGGCCTTCCTGCGCGCGCCCGAGGCCTACTACCGCGCGGGCGAGCACTTCGCCATGTTCGCGCACAACACGCTGGCCTACGACCTGGGCGGCGACAACGAGCGCAGCCCGCGCGACGACGCCGCCTACCTGGCGGGCCTGATCCGCCAGGTGGAGGAGGTCTTCTCACTGGTCATGATCGCCGAGTACTTCGACGAGTCGCTCGTGCTGCTGCGGCGCCTGCTGGCCTGGGACCTGGACGACGTGCTCTACGCCAAGCTCAACGCGCGCGCCGCCAGCTCGCGCCTGGCCGCCATCCCCGCGGCGCTGGCCCGCGCGGCGCGCGCCTGGAACGCGCTCGACGCCGGCCTCTACGACCACTTCAACGCCACCTTCTGGCGCCGCGTGGCCCGCGCCGGCCGCGCCTGCGTGGAGCGCGAGGCGCGCGAGCTGCGCGAGGCACGCGAGCGCCTGCTGCGCCGCTGCTTCGGCGACGAGCCCGTGCTGCGGCCCGCCGCGCAGATCCGCACCAAGCAGCTGCAGCCGTGGCAGCCCAGCCGCAAGGTGGACATCATGGGCTACGACCTGCCCAGCGGCGGCGCCGGCCCGGCCACCGAGGCTTGCCTCAAGCTGGCCATGCCCGAGGTGCAGTACTCGAACTACCTGCTGCGCAAGCAGAAGCGCCGGGGCGGCGTGCGCGCCCGTCCCGAACCGGTCCTGGACAATCCCCCGCCTCGGCCCATCCGGGCACTGCCGCGCGGCCCCCAGGGCCACTGAGCTGCGGGAGTCTGGGCCCTACCCCGCCCGCCCGAGTCTTGCCCAGGGCTGCCTCCAGGCCCGGCCCCATCAGGGCCCTTTCCTTCCCAGGAGCTTGAGCCCCGCGCCCTACTTGGGGGTGCATCTCCGTATCTGAGCCCGCCTCCGGGGAGGGTGCCGATAGGCCCGATCGAGCCCCGGGCCGCCCTCTCTTCCTTCCTAATTGGTTAGTGACTTTGACAAGAGGTCTGAGGCTCGTCCAGAACTGCCCATCCTGCCTTTTTCTGGAGGTTGAGCCCTCCTCCTGGCTTTTCCAAGTGGATGAGCCCAGGCCACAGAGAGGAGCTGAGCCCTGGGGAAAGGCCGCTCTGCCTGTGAGCCTTCCCGGTCTCTTGCTCCTCCTCCCAGGGATCAGAGGCCTCCACGCCGTCTGTCTTCCAGGTTCCACCCTACCCACAGACCTAAGCTGCTCCCACACTCCCAGAACCGAGAGTTCTTGAGTTGGGCTTTTTGTTTGTTTGGTTTTTCTTTTTTTAATAAAATGTCTTTAAAATGTGCAGGTTGTATGTCAGTCATTGAAAGCCAGATTCCCTGTGTTTGAGGATGAGCCAGATGCCCGAGAATGGTGGTGGCTGTCACCATGAGGATGGAGCCCCAGGCTCAATCAATCTCCTCCACTGCCCTTCCCAGAGGCTCACAACCCTCATCAGCACCTTGATTGGGCTCGCCAGCACAGACTGGGCACCTCAGCCCACACATTTACCTTTGAGAGAATCTAAATCATTTTCATTCAACTCAACATTTACTGAGAATCATCTCTGTAACTTGGGGACACAGGTGAACAAGGCAGATAGGGCCCTTTTCCTCATGGAGCTCATGGGGAGACAGTGACACTGGAGCAAGACATGTCAACAAAGAGGAAGGACTGGAGGGGCTTAGAGCAAGACAGCGCCTTGGGCAGAGCGGAGGCAGAAGGAGCATCGTTTCAGGGAAGGAGGTGCTTACCTCCCTGTTTTGGGTCACTGACGTCACCACTGGCCTTCCTTCCCCACAAGGAGAAGACAGCCCTGACTCAGATGAGGCCCGTTCCCTGGCCCCAGCATCCTTTAGCACAGCAAGACACACAGCCCTTTCAAATGAAATCCCCCTTAAGACTAGCAGAGAATCAAGACTTTTTCTGTTCCTTTCTTCAGAGCGACATTGATATATCTGGACAAGTAATAAAAGTTATAGCTAACAGGGTCTCCTATGTGCCAGCCACTGTGTAAGTACACTACACTTTATATACATTAACTTAGGAGATAGGCACCATTTTATGGGTGAGGGAACTGACGGGAGAGGTTGAGTGACGCTGACGGTCACATAGATAAGATTTGAACCCAGACAGTGGAGCTTCAGAGTCTGTGCTCCTAGGCGCTATCATAGTGCCATTTGAATAAAGAAGTTCCAGGCTAGGCTGACCCCCAGGACCTTCGCTCAAAAGAATGTCAACTGAAGAAACCAAGACATTGCTCTCAGCTCCTCTTTATTTTTCACAGAGACAATCGTTGACCTGTTAGGGCAATGGAGATTGCAATGGTCGATTGACAGATTGTATGACACTCCCTGGGCTTGAAAAGGGGCTGTTTTTACAGCACTCCACTTTTTTTTTTACCAGCAGAGCTCTGGAAAAGGCAATAATTAGAGACATATGAAGGTGTAATTAGATTCTCGGCATTAAGCAGTGGTAAAGAATTGTACTAGACTCAAAGTCGTCTATCCAAAGACGACTATCCAAAGTGTCTGTCTGCCACTGTCCCCACCTCTCCCTCTCTCTAGCCCTAGCCTCTGGTCATACCTTTGCCAGGAACATCCTTCACCTTGGTCCTCCTGGAAAACTCAGATATGCCCTTAAGATCTGCCTTGATAGGCCTCTCTGCCTTCCTTGACCTTTAGGCAGGTGGGTCCTCCTTTTAAACCTTGCGCAACTTCAGCATAGAGAACAACTCAGGAAAATCTGGATTCAGGGACTAACTGGAATCATCTGGAATCATGAGGCCCTGGGAGAGCGTTTCTCTATTTGACGTAGGAGCAAGGGCAGACCTTAAGTAGGCACCACATCAAGTATTAGCCGTCAGTGACTGAGCGGGGGGCTCAGTCCAAACATCTCTGGCTTCAGCCACTACTCAGGGGAACAGGCCCCTGGGGCCCAAATGCCCTGCAAAGAGTTTCCTTCCATAACACACGCAACACACACCCACTCTACATGTTTCCAGAGCTTTGGCAGTGGGTGAAACATGGTCCCTGCCTTGAGGAGCTCACACTAAGTTCTGGGACAGATGTGTAAGCAGTAACTTGGGTGACAATGACATGATGGATGCGATTACCTCCATCAGTGCTTTGAAGTTCAACCCTGGCTCTCCCACCTACCGGTTACATGACCTTGGTCTTAGCCTTTGAGCCTCACTTTCCTCCCCTGTGAAGTGAGCTGAGTCGTTCCTGAGCTTTGTGAGCAGTGTTTGAGATAAGGCACTAGCACAGTGCCTGGCACATGGAACTGTTCCCAAAGTGGCAGCTCTAGTGTCATCAGGGCTCCTCCAGGACCGTCACCCTACACGTTGTAGATGTTACAGGTTGGCACATCTATTCCAAGTGCTTTCCAGCAGATGGAAAAAAGCATTTTGAGGTAAGGGTGCCTTTTTCTACTTTGCTCAAAGGCACTGTACGGGCAAGCAGCAGCCTTGATTTCTATGATTATAGAAGGATGTGCAAAGTGCGTGGGGGGCAAAGAAGAAGACAGGAGAGTCTGCCTGTGCCGTCTGGAGGGGCTCCCTGGAGGCGGCTGTCCCAGCTGAGAACAGGGACAGGGGTGGGTGCTCCAGACAGAGAGAACAGCACATGCGGAGGCGCCGGGTGTGAGAAAGCCTGGGCGTTTGTGAGCCAGGGAGCGCTGGGCTGTCCAGGTGGGGAGAAGCACTCCAGCACCATGTTATGAAAGGCTTTGAATGTCATGCTTAGAAGTTCAGATTGTTCTGTATGGGAAGCTGGAGTAAATGGAATAGCCAGAGATGAGCAAGCTGTCCCCAGAGCGGAGAGGGCCATGGTCTCAGCCCGGCTGTAGCCCATTCCTGACGCAGCAGCACACTAGGTAGGGACCTCTGTTGTAGATGATGGGGAGTCACTGAAGTAGCAGGAGAAAGGCCTCTAACAAACTGCAAATGTTGCTGGGAGAAGGCACGTTAATAAGAACAATAATACTAGCGAACATTTATAGAGTACTTGCTATGTGCTAGGCGCTTTTCTCCATGCTTTATCTATTTTAACTTACTTGATTCTTGCAACAACCCCGTGACATAGGTGTTATCCTTATACCGCTTTCACAGAAGGGGAAACTGATGTACAAAAAGGTCAAATGCCCAGGCTCACCCAGCTGGGAGAGGCGGAGCTAAGACAGCAACCAGAGGGCTCAGACTCCCATGCCCCAGTTCCTCCCATTGGAACACATTGTCCCACTCCTCAGACACACACCAGCAGTCTCTTCGGGCTCGTTATTAAAGAGCCTCCTTATATAAGCCCCCTGAGAGCAGCTTGAGTGGGAGGGAGGGGCAGAGGAAAGGAAGGCAGGGCACAGAGGGAGGAAGCTGGCAATCTGCCAACACAATTAGGCAGCTTCCCAGGACCTGCTAGAGGAGTGGAGCGGGGACTGTGGGGCAGGACGCCTGAGGAGAGAGGGCAGCCAGCCGGGCTGTCTGGATGAGGGGATGGAGGTGAGAAGGGGAGGTGAGCGTGGCAGCCACTTTTCTGGATCTCATAGACCTGAGGTTAGCTCCTCTGAGCCAGCAGGGTTGCAGGAATATGAAGACCCCATCCGGTCATCCCTCTTCTCCCCAAGAGTCCCCCCGGCACCCTCCAGGGGGCAAAGGACGGGACAGGAACAGCCTCCCCCACACCCACTCTCCACTCCCCTCCCAATCTCGTGGGATTTTCTCAACACTCAGGCAGTGTGCAAAAGTCAGAGCCTAATACCCCATTACAAATGGGAAGACTGAGTCCCAGAGAGGGGATGTGGCTTCCAGTGGTGGCCTAGAGCCACGGCAGAGACAAGTGTGGGGACACCCCCATGAGCTGGAGCCACAAAAGTGGGATCCTGGGTCCTCTCTCCCAATCGTGTCCCCAGCCCAGAGCTCCCCTCCTGAGTGTTCCCCAGGCTCATCAAACCCACTATGTTCAAAACCAAACATCTTGTCTTCTGCCCACACTGGCTTCTTCCCCAGTGCTCTCAGTGCCAGGGAATGGTGCCCCATACAAGCAGATGCTCCAGCCCCAATCCTTAGTGTCTCCTTAATGTCTCCACATCCTTGCCCCAGTGCCACCTACCTGTCACCATGTCCTGCACATTCTGACTTCTGAATAACTGGCATCTACCCACCTCTCTTTCCCCACAACGTCTGCCTTGGTCTAAGCCATCAGGTTCTCTACTGGTTACATCAACAGCCTCCTCACTGGTCCACTCGCCTCAGGCTCCCCACAGCAAACGCATCTCCTCTCTGTGTGCACAGTGATCATTCTTCAAGCCACCCGATCCTGTCACTCCCTTGTTTGAAACACTGCCCCTCATATCAGACCCACAAGGCCCAGCCTTAGCCAGGCCCCCAAAACTTCTCAGCTACATCTCCCACTGCCCCCAATCCCCCCATCATGTTCCAGCCACAGTGGATTATACACCATTCCCTGAATGCAATGGTATGCCAGGTCTGGCTCCTACTGGCTCTTGAAAGCTGAATTTTGCCAGCTGGTTGTTGAACACAATTAAATTATATTAAAAATTAAATTATATAAATTTCCCATTGAATAAATTATATGAATAACAAAGGTAATAAATATTCACAACTCATTACTTCCTAATTAGTCTACTAGATTATACTATTATTTATGCTCTTAAGGTTATCTACATCTATCATAGCTGGTGGAAATCCTATTGAATGGTGTGCTGCTTACAGCACATCCTTTCCAAGCAGTCTTCAGTGATGTTACATTGGTAGCATGAAATCAGCCATAGTGAGAGTAGTTACAACACAAATCAACAAACACTATAAAGCAGAGATTGATTTATTGTTTTGTTGATCATCTGGACATGGATCAGCAAACCACAGGCCAAATCTGGCCCACTACCTGTTTTTGTAAATAAACTTTTATTGGAACACAGCCACACTCATTCATTTACTTACTGTTTTGTGGCTGTTTTTGTACCACAATAGCAGAGTCGAGTAATTGCAATAGAGACTTTATGGACCCCAAAGCCTAAAACATTTACTACTTGGCCCATGGAAAAAGTTTGTTACTCACTAACAAAAACAGGAATATCAACCAACATTCACATCAGAACCACTCATGGAGAGATGGATGTTGAACATTTACTAGCACACCGCTGCCTGAAGGTGCCAGGCCCATTCATGCCTCCATTCTTTGCAAGTGATGTTCCCTTTGTCCATAATGCTTTTTCTCTTCTGATCCACCTGAAGAGTTCCTACCCACTCTTCAAAACCCAATTTGAAAGTCTCTTTTCCCCACCTGCCT